CTGACCAGGACACTGTATGGCTAATAGCTGCCTGCTCCAGACCTCAGTTAAGTGTTCTGCCTCCTCTAATAGTCCCAGCACAAAAGAAAGCTCTTCTTGCGGCAAGGAGTTTTTATCAGCTCCCTTTCCCCTCCCACTGACCCAGTCAGGCCAGGTCAAGGAGGCTTTTCCTGATATCTCCAGAAGTTTCCTTCTTGGAGGCTATCCCTGGATCCTTTCTAGTCTAAAGTCCTCCAAACATCTGTTCCCTGCTTGGAGAAGGGGGAGAGTATGACCCGCCCATTATCTCTCCAGCTAGATCTATTAGCATTTGTATGAAAGTGGGTTGAGGTAAGTCTGGAAAGCAACTGAACAGACTTCCCCTTCTTCCTGCCTGTTCTCTGCTCATTTCAAACCTCCAACAAAAAAAGGCATTTCTTCACAACTTTCAATAGAAATGAAGAGAGACTCACACAGTTCATACATCACAATACTGTAACATCTAGAACTACAATTAACTAATCAGAAAAGATGCCTTAGAAGTGAGCCATTCTACATTATTGTTTTCAGTGGATTGAAACTGACTGACACCTGATCATCATCAAAACTACAATCAATATTTATGTTCTTTATAAACTCAATATGATTTTGAACTGATCTTGGTATAGTAGCTTCTGGCACTGTCAGAGTTTTAAAAAACAAGAATTCACAGATATGCAATATTAATGTTCAGAAAAACTTTCATTGGAGCTCCTGAAAAGAAAATATCCTTGATAAGATCAAAGTACTCAACAGGGTGAAGCTTGGAAAGCCCAATGAACAACAGAAGGATAGATTACACAATTACTTTTTTACTATATGAATAAACTGTGTATTGACTGCTTTTGGGAAACAGGACTTGGACTCAACAGTTCCATTTAGCTGGTGGTTTCCCCTGATATGAGGCCTTTTATATTGGTGAAGGGCTCCTAATTTGTTTATTTCCTTCATTTATAGCCCAACTTGGCCTGACCTGAATAGTCCAGGCCAGCCCAGTCTCATCTGATCTTGGAAGCTAAGCAGGTTCAGTCCTGGATAGTACTTGGATGGGAGACCACCAAAGAAGTTCATGGTTGCTATGCAGAGGCAGTCAATGGTAAACCACCCCTGTTCATCTTTTGCCTCGAAAACTCTACAGGATTGCCATAAACTGGTTGCAAGTTGGCACACCACCACATAGCCCACCTTTCTTGCCAAGACTCAAAGTAGAATACAAAATATAAACAATAAAATAGCAGAAGACATCCAATAAGCAGAGCAATAGGACTGGGATTACAGGTTTAGAAAACAATGCACACACAAAACCGTCTGAGGTGTGACATACCATAATGCAGAAAGTGGGTTACAAAGCTAGAAGACAATGCAGTACAAGCAAGGTGATAAATATAGTAAAACATTGCAATAAACTACAGTTCTATTCCTTTGTCAAAACATTCTCCTGAGCGGTTCCCTTACATTAGTTTTAACCTCCTTATAAAAATGCCCTCCTGAACATTTCTGTTTTGTTCATTATGCAAAATGATCAATGTGCGGTCCATTGCAAATTTCAAAATGCAAGCTCAGTCTTTACATTCCTTACATTTTTTAAAGTATGCAATATGATCATTTGTATGGATTAACTATTGAACTAATCTGAAGCAAATGTTTATATGCCTCCTTAAAAAGGATGACTACCAATATCACCGATATATAAAATAGGTGGTGCCCAGGCTCATGCCTCTATGGAAGCGATTTCTGCAAATAAATGGTGGGTGGGTGGGTGATCTCTGATGTCTTAGTAGTGAAGGAAGGGTACTTTCTGCATATTCAGTTATCCTCTTCTCTTTGGACACTACAGTTCCAGCTAATGAAGGATATAGAAGCCTCGGTTTATAGAAAATTAAAAATTTGCATGTGTGGCATTATATCAAATAAATTGTGCTGGTAATAGCCCCCCCCCCCCCGGAGATGCAGAACTCTGTCCAATGCATGTACAATTGTTTAGATTCTGTTCAACAGAATTCTCAAGGCAAAATTAATGATACATTCTTCAAGGGTGGGCTCAGACATCAAGTACAGGTTCTTGGGCTGGGCTCAAGGAATCAGTGGCTCAGATGTGCTTTACATAGGCCAATACAGCAGCACAAAAGTTTAATGTGAGGGTATGATTAGATTTAAAAG